CCGTGCAATCTGTGCATGTTTCACCCCTATCTGCGCATGACTCAAACTATCGTACCATTACCTATGATTGAGGATTCCCCACGGTATCTGAAACGTCGGGGAAATAAAACTATTGTTCCCGTGGTCACATTTTCTTCTGAACTGCTTCCTGGAACTCGCATATTCACTTCTACTGACAATCAACTGTTTTCAGTCATTCATCTTCAGGCCGATACAATGACATGGAAAATAAAACGTTCGGTTATAGGTAGTTTTTAAATGATCCTCGGGGTAGGGTAGGAGTGTAATTAGTCATCTCGGTGTTCCCTCGTTTCATGCATGCTGGCGCCAGAGTGTTGAGGACGTCGGATATGGCCCGCAGGGAGGGGGATGTTTGTCGGCGTGTGTTTAACTTCTCCCCGTGGCTTCGAGTGACGGAGTCTCAAGTGATGTGGAATTCATTCGTGTAGTCGGTCAGGGTAGGCAGACTGCGGCTACCAGCGTCTTTTGACAGCAGAGACTGGACTTTTCTAAACGGATTGCCACTGCTTCGGCTGTGGCGAGCACCTGCTTGCGCAGGCCTTTAGATTAGTGTATCAGTGTCTGGTATATGACTTGGAGGGCCTCTCTCGCATCAACTTGGTGGTTCTTATTGACCAAGTGTGCGACGATTGAACTTGAAATCGATCGAAAAGAAAAATATTTTGACGGCGTCAAGCCCCACGACCCGCTCAGAATGCTTATAGTCTAATTAGATTTCTTACCCACTTTTCCAAGCGGATCGATAATTAGGACAGTCGATTTCACCAGCAAATTCTTATCGATCAACCAACGGGAAACAGGAATACTGATAAATCCCTTCAGCCTGCTATTACTAAGATGCAGACCGCACGTACGGTTCCTTTTTGACATCGGTGCGAATAGCCAAGCATACGGATTAGCTATCGATATACATCTGGCTACTCATTTAGCCAATAGGATCAAAAAGTAACATAAGCCTCAAACTCATTGGGCTAACATGTTGCTGTCGCCACGTGAATGGTGAATGATACTTTGGTAAGACACTGAAATAGGTAGATAGAGAAGAAGAAGGCGTTGCGATCACCGGTGATCGCAACGCCTTCTACTTCTCTATCTACACACGTACCTGGGATGCGAACATTTGCCTCAACTGAAATAGGTGCCACCAGTAGTAAAAATGAATTTGCAATAAATTCCAAGTGGATAACAATTAGGGTACGGGCCAAGGCTATGGTTAAAGTTAATGATGGGTTATGGTAAATGTTGGCGTAAGGACACTGGAATTTAGGGGAACCGATACCGTTGAATACCTGAAATAGTATGCACCCAGAGATAATAAACGAAGAAAGAAAGCTCGTCAGAAAAATCGAGTCTTACTCGTAAATTTTAAAGCTGGTTACACCTACCCGTTGTCAGACGAAATGAGGATTGGGATTATTGCACTAGAGGGTTTGGAGCCAGAGGTTACATCGAGCGACTAGGGTCCAGGGGGTGAGGGGGGAGGTTTTGAGTGACATGAATCGTCGTGCAATAGGTCCTGCAAGTAAGGGGAGGGGTGAGAACGTTTAGATTACGGGTTCTACTTGAAAGAGGTCGGATAAACAGTTTTTGTTTCACGCTGGACGCAAGTTAGTGGACGAGAGGTGGAGACTTTCGCAATGCTACTATGCTACTGCAAATTTATGACAAGTAACGATTCCCCTATCGAGTGTAATTTCCCGCTTGTGTGCTAATTGCATGATGTTCGACGTGCGAGTAGTGACCTACTGAACTCTCATCACACGTGGGGGCACTGGACTTGATGATTGCTCGGTCATCTGGCTCCCTAGTACTGGCGTTATATGACGCGTTGGCCTGCGTGTTCCCCAAGTGGCGACTTTCTTTTGCCAAAATGACCCTCAGCGCCGGATATGGATTGCGCAGGTTGTTGCTTTAATTTACAGACTGGGGCCCATGAACCATGACTCACGTAACTCTCGACTCACAGGATTCTCACCTCTCGCGAGAATGCCGGCCTCATTAAATTTGAGCGTGTGGCCGGGTCTCGCCGATATAGCCGCAACAACGTCAGGCGAATAAAATAATTGTCCCAGCGATCGAATCGTTTTCTTCTCAAATGTATTACTCTCAGAATTAGAAGATAATTTATAGAATGCTGAACAGTAATCAGGTCAAAGTAGATGAACTCAAAATATACTTGTACTAGGCGGCTAAAATAGTAGAGTAAATGTGAATTTCAGGTGGTGAAACACACTGTCGTGACTGCAAACAATTTTCTTGGCTTTTAAATTCTAAGGAATGCAATACCGGATAGGCCTTCTTTTGCTGTTTTCGGGGCGTCCGGGTGGCATAAATGAGAGCTGCGCTTCTCGACTTCCATAAACAATCTATTTTCTTTGCCATTATCTCATCCTCCATAGACTCCTGTATAGGGAAATTGCTTTCCCTCCACTCTTTATATTTTAATAAATGGCGACTTGTTCAATTAACTCCGCTTATTTTCATAGCCAAAGTTTGTATGCCCTATTCGTAACACCTCTTACTAACCTACACGTGTTCCTTACGCCTCTCAGCTGTTATTCAGGTGATGCCAGAGTACAAACGCGGTTTATTCGATGCTCAATTCGAGGTTGACGAGTCACTGGAAGCGAAGAGCGGTCAATTCGTGGAGTTCTCCATGAATTTCGAGGGTTTTGAAAGGATTCCCTCGCGGGTGATGTGGCTTCACGATGGCCGACCGATTGATTCAACAAAGTGGGCCATTGCCGTCAGCCCGAGAGGCACCTACGCGCGATCGAATTGTTTGAAAAAAGTTGACGAGGGCCTTTATACCTGCCAGGTCTCGGAATTTGAACACGGCGTCCATTTGGAATCCAGCGGTACGTCTCAGTAGTCTGGACTGTCCTTTATGCATGCGGTTTTTAAAAAACCTTCTGAGTTGCTAAATTTAGCATAAACCCCTCTTTCCTCCTTCTGAATTAAAGCGGATTATTTAAAGAAATTAGAGTGTGCGCGATTATGACGAGGTAAAATCCCTATTGACAGAGAGAGAAAGAGAGATACGCTTCATTTTGAACATATCATTCCACATTTTTCAGCAAAAAATGTCCTCCATTTTAAAAGAATGAAATTATGCGCACAAATTCACAACTCCTGGATATGAAAAGTAATCCATAATCGCAACTGACTGCAATTTTCGACATCATGAATAAACGTCCTGGGAAAAGTCGTCAAATGTAGGCCAAATTGGACTGCTTTCAAAACAGCGCTAGCGTTGTGACCTTGTGCCCTCGTGACTTCATTGTACTTCAAATAAACTTGTACTTACTTGTACTTGTTACAGCCGCGATCATTACTGATCTAGCCAGCGTTAATTAAGCCT